GAAGTGGAAATGGACATGGGCTGGGCATGTAGCGCGTGGACAGGATAACCGCTGGTCGTTGAGGGTAACTAACTGGATTCCTAGAGAAAGCAAGCGGGTTAGGGGGAGACAGAAGGTTAGGTGGACAGATGAGCTTAAGAAGTTTCGGGTATAAATTAGCAGCAGCAAGCACAGTACCTGGTTAACTGGCGGAACATGGGAGAGGCCTTTTTCCTGCAGCGGACGTAGTCAGGATGATGATAATGATGATGATGATAGTGATTATGATGATGATGACGACGACGATGATGATGATGACATATGTGCTCCTTTCATACAGCCGTCTTGCCGGGTTAACGTTAATTGTGGTGAGGTGTCATGTGCTGAAAATGATTTAAGTAGCAGTGTCAAGGGCCAGCCTCTTCGCGAGAATCAGCGCTTAATATCAGCTTCTGGTGTTGCTAAAACACATTTCCAGCTGACATCGTTGTGCAAGTGCAAAACTGGTTATATAAACATCTGCAACTCTTCAACATATGTCTATGCGTGCAACATTTGTACATATATTTAGCGTCACTTCTTGGCGTGTCGCTCAAAATATGCAACATGGTCACCTCCCTCCACGTGCTTCGCATAAAATTGAGTACCAGATACGTGAGATCTGCCAAATTTTTATACACAGCGACCTAGGCCACTTATATAAAAGAGATGGGGTATTAATACCCGAGACACGAGCTAGAAATGTGCCATATTTTGATCTCATCCTATGGAAGACAAACTTGGCGAGTGAGGGAAATGAACTTTATTTGGTCCTGCAGAACTGGTCAGACTCCCCCCTAAGAACTGTCCACCGCAGTTGCTGTTAGTGAAGCTCTGAAAGCCCGGTAATATTCTCGGTGCGAAGGCCACAATAAGGAACACTCTATAATAAGATTTTGGCATAAACGGGACGGAATGTAATGAGCCACATTCTGTGATAAACGTCTGAGAATTGGTGGGTTGAATATCAAACGCAGTGCTGAGGAAGAGCGTCACATATTATTGCCCCTAGCTCTCCTAATACAAGGTGGCTCACTTGAGTTATTATGTGAATGAATTAATTTAGCACCCTAAATGCTCACAAAAAAAAGACTATTAGGTGCCTAAATAATCATTCTTATGTGCCTGCTGGAAAATTCTGTACTATTTTCACTGCAGATGATGTTAGTGAAACCACGCAAGACAAGCCGAAGTCAGTGCCAACTTTGGTACCTTTCAAAAAGGACACCGCCAATGCGTTTTTCTACATTTCTGCGACATCTGCGACATAGCAAAACGTAACCAAGTTGTCTAGAAGTTCTAGTTTTCACAGTTTCGGTAAGTTCGTCAGCATCTCAGTCCTCATACGAACATGGTCAACTGTATAACGGTGTCACAAGCTGCTAAATGCTGACTGGTACAGAGAGGCGAGCTGGCCATGTATAAAAAAATTAGGTGGCATCATATATTTGCTTCTGATATACAGCCCGAGTTGTGGAGATCGGCAAAATATACCAATAAGCTTACAGGATGTTTCGGGGTTGCAGGCAGAACACTTAGAGTGAATGTTTAAAAGCCATTCAAGCGACTGAACCAAGGCTTTCTCACAATATCGTCGGATACTTGAACACTGACAAACAACTGCAGAATATGGCTCTTGTGTGTGTGTGTGTGTGTGTGTGTGTGTGTGTGTGTGTGTGTGTGTGTGTGTGTGTGTGTGTGTGTGTGTGTGTGTGTGGTGTGTGTGTGTGCGTGTGTGTGTGTGCGTGTGTGTGTGTGTGTGTGTGTGTGTGTGTGTGTGTGTGTGTGTGTGTGTGTGTGTGTGTGTGTGTGTGTGTGTGTGTGTGTGTGTGTGTGTGTGTGTGTGTGTGTCTGTGTTCTGAACCTGCCAGCATCCGTGCGGATCATGAAATTGATGCGTATAAATACATTTTACTGCGCCTAAATGCCACATCGTCTGTACAATTTGCACGCCGCTCTTCTACGTGCGGGATGAGTATTCCGTCGCCTTAGGTAGAGAAGATAGAAGTGGTGCGGTATCATTGTAAAATTTCTGACCAGCTTTCTGCTTCGCTGTCTGTCAGAACACACTTCTTCACAGCGTGCAGGTGCATGTGCCACTTCGTAAAAGAGCAATACTTCAGTTGACATTGTGGGCGTCTAGTATCAATGTATCATGAGTTTTTCAGGCTGCTGATTTCAAGATTTTCAAGGAAAAATTTTCTTTTTATGTTACCGCGCAAATATTTTACAAGTTCAGTTCTTATGCAATGACTCTTCACCACGCATCTGTATTCTTTAACTTATACCACGCAGCAAAGAAAATTGAGTGGCAGATCATTCATTTCCGATAGTTGCAAGTTATCACTCTGTGCTTGCCTTCAGCCAGTTCGGCTTTCTCTTCGTTTTCTTTGTTTTGTTGTGTCAGTTTCAAAGTACGAATCAATCAGTGGAAATATCAAGGCTGGTTGATGTTCACAGTTTTGTCAACCAACAGCTAATCGTGAGTGTTAAAGCCGCCACAAAATATCCTAGCTGCGGGGATACTTTTGCATTAATGTTTAATCAGAAACCTGTTGTAAATATTTTATAAAGACTAGCGCAAGCATATAATACACCAAGCTTGTTTTGCTTGTTTTTTTGTTGCGTTTTCATAGTTACTTCCTCCAATGTATCAAAGCAGAACTATTGAGCCGGAAGAGCAATTTTTAGTATTTCTTGTTGAGTAAGCTGCGTAGAAGCTTAGCAAGTCAGTTACTGAATGCATAAAACAACCTTTAAAACAAGAGGGCCCACTCGGGTACAGTCTGCTCAAACCTAACCACCCTCGCGGAGGCCATCTGTACGGCCTTGATTTGGGAGGTCAGATCCTAGACCTTGAGCTTTTTATTTTCTCTTGGGGGAAAGGGTACCAGCCGAGGCGCAGCACCACAGGATAGACTGGAAGTCTCGATAACCATCACACAAGAGGAAATCTGGGCTTGGGAGCCATTCGGGGGGTGTTGTGTGCATCGCCGCAGTGCTCGGGTAGGTGCTTGTTTGGAGTAGTCTAAGGATGACACGTTGGGCTCTGGACAGCGAGGAGAGTGGCAGAAGCAGCACTCTTCTTGGAATGTAATGGGGCTTGCATATGTCATTGTGCATGCAGAGATGCTTGGATGACCCTGTAGACGACGCGTTATTCGGTACACGGTGCCGCACCTCGTGCAGTCGAGTGCACCTCCTTGTTCAAATTGATTGAGGTACCATCAATGGTTCGATTGTATGCAAGAAACCACACGTAATAACGGTTTTTGAAGTCTTTGGCTTTTTAAAGATATGTAAGTCCTGGGGAGTCACCATGCTTATTAGAAATACCTTAATGGCAGCTTGTAGTCTGAATAAGTAATGCTGTGTAGTCTTTCCGTCAGTGCAAGAGCAATGACAACCTGTTGTGGAATGCAGGATCTAGAAGTGCAGATAGTAGCACAGCTGATTACTTCGTAATCGCAGCCAACGACCACGGATTGAGTATAACGGGGTTGCGTCCCAGCATGCTGAGTATATCTCTACCTGCTGGCGTGCCAGACAGTCTGACAAATTGTGAAAACTCTTGGGCTTCGACAATTTCTTCGAATGTGTTGTGGATTCTCAGCTTGAAGAGCTCATTCATGCGTGTTCCAACGGCAAAGCCTGCTTGACGGCCCTTTTTATTAAGGCATTGATCTTGTTGTACTCCGATACGAGCCAGCTGTGAATAGCCGTGAGTACACGAGGTAGTATAGAACAAATGCGTGGATAATCTGGATCAGACTGTGCTCCGTGATTCCTCGGTGCCTGTCAGGAGTTCTTCAAACCAGCCTGGAAGCACATTTGGTCGTGAAAGAAACGTGTTTGATGGCATCTTTATTGGCTTCATGGAATGCATAAGCATTCAGTGGGCGCTAATGTATATTTAACTATTTATTTATTTATTTATTTATTTATTTATTTATTTATTTATTTATTGGTACCTCAAGGGTGCCAAGGAACATTACATGAGGCGTATCAAAAGTAAAGAGATAGAAAAAACAGTATCCGTACACAGAACTGGCGAGCTGTTACCGGTGATTAATCTGATGTGGCTCTCCGTTGCTGGCTTCTAGGACCGGTTAAAAACCGCCTCTGGGCCTCTTGTTATAGAGTAACAGCTCGAACTTGGTGGGTGAGCACCGCAAGCCGGTACGGATGATACAGTGTTCATTTACATAGATGGCCTTTCGCAAAGTGCTCCCGATCTCACCCTGGCATCCGCTGAGGCACCAGATGTTGCTGTCGCTCATGTAGAGTAAGTGATTAATGTGCAGTAGTGTGTTGAAGGCCCACGACAGGTTTATTACGCAAATTTTGAAGAGCGCTGAGCCCATCACCACCCCCTGAGTTGGCACTTTTCACCCAAGGGTTTTTCGTGTGTAAAAGACCTGTCAATCTTCAGTCTTTTCGACGTCAAGGAAAGGAAATAGCGCAAGATATTTTACGCCCACTTGTGGACGTAAAGTTCAGCCAAGATCTTTAGAATAAAAACGTGCGATAGTCAGGAAGTGACAAAAAAAAAGAAATTCAACAAGGTAGACCATTATGAATCGCACATTGCGTATACCCGCTGCAAATTGAGAAGCATGGGTTGGCATGCAGGTATGAGCGCTGCTTTGACATACATAGGTGAAAACAACTGATTTTCTCTTACATTACGCGTGGCAGCTTTGTGGGCGTAAATGTTTACAATTCACAGCTCTGCGGTCGCCAAGCCGCTGCGGCTATCGATAAATAGAGGCAGTCAAAATAACTGGCACTACGATCATTACTGTTTCCCATGTTTAGTTCTCTATGAATTATCAGACAGAGGCACACAATTGAGCTATTATTTCTTCAATGCATGGTTAGAAAAGCGTTCATGCGGTCAGCGTTTCAATAGCGGGAAGATTGAAAAACATAATACTTAACCAAAAAATGGCCTCGAAGCAACACCTGATACGGATCCCTCGTTAGTATATGAACAAAATTGGTTTATTTCACCATTTATTTCATCGCCGCTCACAACGCGGGCGTGTTCATCCTATGCCAGCTCCACCACATTTTTAATCAGCATGTAAGAAGTCTAACGAACTGTCAATTAGAAATAAAATGGAGACTGGCACGGTCAGTAGCAGTTTTATCTACCCCGACAGCGTTCATATATGTATTGATAAGCGACAATTTCGAAAACATTCCCACTCTAAAATGGGGATGTCGGCACATCAAAGTCTCCTTAGTTCAGATAACTCCAAATTTTACGCGCTAATTCCAACATGCTCGACTTAAAGCGCTCCAGAAAAGGTTCAACAGCTTCTTCCATATACTTGAGGTTCCACTGCTTGTTTTTTCCCTTGGCTTCATTCTCGTTGGAATTCGATCCAGATCTTGTGTGTCCTGAAGTCATCATCAGGATGGCTGAAAATGAAGTAGCATAATAAATAAAATTGAAAAACAAAAATTCACAGCTTTGCCGCAAAAGCGAAGCAATGAACGCGATGGCACCAATTTCAAAGGTCCCGTGGAAAATGGCAAGCTGATCGAAACATGCCCCTCGATTCTCACGCACAAACGACGCACAAAACGCACTTCACAGGTACGCCCGAACGCGAAAACATGTCTCAGTTGTTACTTCGCTGTGTCTGAAAAGCGCGCCATTTTCGCGAACGCAGACAGTGCAGTTATCTTTGTGCGTTCGGTAAGTACAGCAGAATCGTTTCGGCGAAAGCCCAAGGCGTACAATTTTCCCCACCGTGAGATAAGTGCACGCACGCGTGATCGTTCACTCTGCTTCCCCCTTTCCGTGGGTCACAGTACGTGTAGGAGATGAGAGCGCACGCCACCGCATCGTGACGATCTGGCGACACCAGTTCACAGCGCCATCTCACTGGTAATGACGAAAGTGCGATAGTTCCCCTGAGATGGTCATCGCCAGTGGTAAGTCGTAGATATAAATAGGTTGCTGTTTCGACGTTGACAGAGGTGTTCATTCATGTCTCAGTGGCTAACCTCTCGCACTCACAATTCATAGGCCGTGTGTTTGATTCCGGGCAGCGGAGTCTTTTTTTTTTTCTAGAAAACTTTTCTTCTTGCGTTTTCACATATACAGACACGTATACATATACGGTTAGTGACACCAACGCCGGCGGCCAAATCCAGCCGAGAGTGTTCCTATAATTGCTATCACAAAAAAATTATGCTTGGCGCACGTTTTGTTTTAGCACATATCGCGAAATCTGGTCCCAGTAACTGACTAAGGGATTGGTCAGCATTTCCTAATTAGGAGCTACTTTTGTTATCCTATATAATGCTGGTTCAAGGGAATAGTGCACTTGTTGTACCGAACAGCATTGAGTATTGCTGGAATCTATGTGAAGCACGTGTACTTCATTGCATCCTTCCCTTAAACATCATTGGTCTGGCGTTTTCTCAATCTCTTAGTGACGACACACCTACGGCCCAAGCTTTTCTGTCAATGTCCACGGTTTCTGTTGTCATGGAAATTGCGTGAATGTGGGATACCCACACAAAAAGTGCCAAGCGATATACTAATATCAATAAGAATTGTGACAGAACAATAAATGACACCTCAAAGCAGAAACCCTATATACTTGTCGACGTCTTCAACCTACGCATTGTGAACGTTATCATCTAAGTTTGTCATCAACTCTCACTTTCCGCTGTCATGGCACATTGAAAACCGTTGTTACAGTCGAAAACTGTGTGTTTGCGTATTAAAAAGGCTTACGATAGATCAACTACAATCATGATTGAGGCAAAAAATCACGAATACCAAGAAGCACAAATCCTTCATTCTAGTCGGTGACTTTAGCGCAAACATTGTGGGTCTTAGAACCTAGCTTCGTCATTCCCTCTTGATGTTTTCTTATGTGATTCATTTCATATTATATAGGGCAACGCTCGGGTAAGATAAGAACATCCATAAGATATGAGCTTCGTTCACTCGTCATGAGTCACTTTGTGGAGATGCGTGATTTTATAAGCTACGGAGGAGTAGCACGCCAACTTTTCTTCGCCATGAAAGGAAAGCTGGAGGGGCGAAACTTCTGAACGTGCACCACTACGTGAAGTTGTCCGGTAGGTCATGCATTTCATTGTGTGGAAAATGATGGCTATGCGCCTGAAGCGTTTTACGTCGACGCAGGCGCGGTTTGGCCTTCGAAGTAGTACACGCAAAAGGCGTGACTTTCTCACGCGTTCAAAAACGTGAAGATACAGGGAATAAATAAAACGAATACGAATATTTTACAGGGCTGGCTGCGCCTTGCGTCAGAGAGCTACATGCAAAAAAAATTATGCATTATCGTCTCCGCCTAACGTTCAAAATGAGAACACAAATGTGTGACTACATTTATTAGCAATAGAATGCGCGGTTTGGCTTTGAAGCCTTTGCTGCATTGCCAAGAAATGTTGTCCGCGAGTACAGTTACCAGAGCATCGCTGTGAGAATAGACCAAAAACGACGTCAGCTTTGGCCACGCCTCTTGTATAAAGTGGCGTACCGGTGGTAGAGTACAAAGTATACTGTGGCACAACGTATAAAACTAAAGCTGTCGATCGCACAGTTGAGAAAAGTTGTGGCTCTGCAAACGTTGTGATCTCAAACATCAGTTTAACGCTAAGGACAAGACACCAGGCGTTTTAGGGATGGCGCTACTCACACTCAACCCTCCCGTCTACACTCCCCTTACAAGTATTTTACATGTTACCCTTAAACAAACCCGCTATCATTAAGCGCTAGGGGCCCCATCTTCTCTTTTAAAGATTATAGTTTTGCTTGGGATACTTCCACTTCGTTTTGTCTGTATGTCTGTCAACTTGTCTGTTTGTGGGCTTAGACCAAGGAGGATTGGTTTAAACAAAGTGTTCGACGATTTCGAGTACTATGCACTCAACTATGGGATGGCAGTGAGCCGTCCGGGTTCGCCGGCACAATGTCACCGGAAACGGGTTGACTCTTTGCCTTTTCTTCTGTTTACCTTCAATTGTAATATACAACCACATCTACAGCGCCCACCAATATTGCTTTGGTTGCTAAGTTAATACTTGCCCCGCCGTGGTGGTCTAGTGGCTAAGGTACTCGGCTGCTGACCCGCAGGTCGCGGGTTCAAATCCCGGCGGCGGCGGCTGCATTTCGGATGGAGGCGGAAATGCTGTAGGCTCGTGTGCTCAGATTTGGGTGCACGTTAAAGAACCCCAGGCGGTCGAAATTTCCGGAGCCCTCCACTACGGCGTCTCTCATAATCATATAGTGGTTTTGGGACGTTAAACCCCTCATATCAATCAATCTATTAAGTTAATACTTCTGCGTATTATCAATTGAAAAGCAAATGTTGCGCATATCTCAGGCATAACATCATCACGTCAATATACTGTGGCGGGTTTTTCGTAGTATAAAAGTCATAAGTAGGTTTTTCTAAGAAGCGCAGCACTCATTATGCTCAGCTGATAATGCAGCGCTAAGCACGAAAAGGTGAATGTTTCCTGCGCTTCGGTGAGACGATAAGGTGGTGGCACTTGCTGGCTGCGCGCATCGAGGCACTCTAACGCAGCGCCTCCACAATCCCAATCACCGATGTTCTTGCGCAGAACATCAAATAAATGTTTTATTCTCTCTCTCCAGACAAAAGACTGCAAAGTAAAGACGACATTTGCAGTGAAACATGCAGATGCAGGGCCATTTTTTTAGTTTTGTTTTTAAAAGCGGAAGTGTTCTTGTGCTGACTGCAATAATAAAAAAAACCATTGCGTCCATTTATTTATCACACAACATGGCAGCTGCTATCAAAAAATAAAAGACATTATACGTAATACATTTAAAATATGTGCAGAGATTCACACCCGGGCGCCCATGGTCTGAAAGCGAGTGTCGTGAGCAAGGCGCAACATACCCACTTTTTTATGTCGGTTGTACGTCACAGGAAAGGTGTTCACGGCATTACAACAAAATACAAAACAATCGCTAGCCCATATTTAAGACAGCGTTCTGCAAGCTATCTGGTGAGCGAGCTGTTTCGGTAGACAAGGCCACATGACTTCTGAACTTTCAGTACTTTTATCGCCCGTGTCACGATGAAAAAACAGGCAGCACGAAAACCATTTCGTTCCATGAAGTGGCCGTATTAGATACGAAGCATCTTGAGTCGGTGGCTATGTCCCCAAGTACTGCGGCGTCTACGTCGTGCGCACGCGCATCCCCTCTCCCTCTCTCCTCTCCTATGTTCTGCCCTCTCTCGCCTCGCAAGGCCGACGCAGGCACCGTCCGCTACCCTACGCTCGCTTTCCCTCTCTCTTCTCTAGGCATCTCTCCCTAGGCATTGACAACCCCGCTGTGCATGCAAGCCACGCCCACTCTTTCTCCTCTGTTAACTCCCCTATCCTGTAAAACACCTATCGGGTAATCACGTCGAAACTTCGTAGAATACGGCACGGTGAAAGGTGCGTCCAGGGGCTTCTACTTCTCAGTCCCACATATGATGGCGCCGCCAGGGAGGCGTGAACCACAGATGAAGTCAACTACGACACAAATCAGATGCCTCCTGAAGTGCTAGATTGAGCCAGGAAACCAAGATATTCTCGTCTGGTTTCCTTAATATAGCCAGCAGGATCATAAGCAAGATGCAATAGTAGTATGCTTCCCGAAAAACTGAAAAAATAAGGCCGTGTGAAGTTTAACGTCCAAAAACTACCAAATAATTGAGAGATGGCGTAGTGAAAGGTTTCGATAATTTCGACCACCTCGGGATCTTAAGCGTGCAACTAAATCGGAGCACATAGGCCTACAACTTTTTTGCCTTCATTGAAAATGCAGCCGCTACAGCCCGAATCAAATCCTGCGACCTGCGGTTCAGCTGCCGAGTGCCTTAGCCACTAGACCACCAGGGCGGGGTGCAATAATTAAGTAAAGTAGACACTACAAATGTGCCTAGTGTGTCTAGTGTGTGCCTATATAGTCTGTAATACAGCCTAAGCGGAAGGCACTAGAAATTGTCGAGTGCTGTTCGACATCATAAATACGCAGTTATTCGTGCTGTCCGACATCATAAATACGCAGTTAGTCTTGTTTAAACTTGTCCCCTACCATGCCATGGTTATATTTTCAAACCATACAAAACCTATTGTTATATGCACCAGAAATGTTTATGGGAATGAAGATTTTGTGAATGTGGCAGCAGGCCAGGTTTAAGTGTAAGTTTATATACTTTATTTCTGTCTAAGACTGGCAACATTCTATATTAAGACAAAACTTGAGTATCAAGATATTCGTAAACGATAGGGCCGCACGGGGAGGAAGTAGCAACTCGCCATTAAAAACAACCGTCGGCATTGACTTTCGTTTTGACGGCATCAACAACGATGAAGCGTGTGTGTGCAGAATTAATTTCTGTAAAAGAATACTTTTAGGGGGTTGTATCGACCACCGAGTTCTTCACCCGAATACTTAGACGCCATTCAAGCACTACCTTGCATGATACTACAAATTCTCGATCCCGGATTTATAATGCGCAGGAGATTTTCAACCCTTACCGGGTATAAACTGGGCCTGATTTATTTCTTATGATCTGCAAGCATCTCGACGTCAGATATACTTGATTTCAACCCGCATTCAACTTCTGCTTACAACAACTAGTTTCTGAGGCTACCAGGGTTGACAGTTCATCATCATCCCTCCTTGATTTGGCACTGGTTAGCAGCTCGTTCCAAGGTTGTTCAGCCAAGGTAGAAGAAGGAATATCCGATCACAAGTTGCTTGCTGTGTCATGTCCTGTTTCAGGAACACGTTCATTTACTAGACCGTCGGATACTTTCGTGAGAGATTACACTCATGGGGATGATAACGCTATTTTAGAATACTTGGAATCGTGCTTTGATTGTTTTAGCCAAGTTAATGATGTCAATGAAATGTGGTCAAATTTTAGAGAAATTGTTCTCTTTTGCGAGAAAAAATATGTGCCGTTAAAAAGAAACGAGTTAATAGGGAATATCCGTGGTTCACGAGAGAAATGATTCATTTGAAACGCAAAATTAAGCAAGTAAGCGTCAGCGCAAGCGTCGGAACACGAGTGAATTTTCAAGCCTTACTTCTAAGTTGCGAGAACTAACGCGATCGGCAAAGGAAAGCTTTTTTTTTTTTCAGATACTCTACCATCATTCATGAAGAATGAACCCCAAAAATTTTGGCGCTATCTGTCAAAAGATAAACGAGGCATTTCAGAGATCAGGATCGCGGGAGAAAGTATTGTTGACGCGACTACCATTGCCAACAAATTTAACGTCTTTTTCCAGTCCGTTTTTACACGGGCAGCCACGCATGCTCAGTTGCGGTCATATGACTCTGATAGCCTTATGCCAGAAGTGTAAATCACTGAGGATGAAGTCCTTTGCCTTTTACACAAACTAGATGTAAAGAAATCACCTGGTCCGGACGAACTATCTAATACTTTTTTCAGTAGATATGCTGTTTGGGTGGCAAAATATTTACATCGCATTTACACTGCATCGTTAGACGCTGCAGTTATTCCTGATGACTGGCGCTCGGCAAAAATAATTCCACTACATAAATCGGGCTCCACTTTGGAAGTTAACAATTACAGGCCTGTTTCCTTAACTAGTACTTGCTGTAAATTATTTCAGCACATTATATTTAAGGCCATGATCACTTACTTAGAAAATAACAAACTACTGTATGCCCAGCAGCATGGATTTAGGTCTGCTTTGTCGACCGTCACCCAACTGGCTGAAATAACTGATGATTTAATTTGAACGCTTAATTTGAAAGGTCAAACCGATGCCATCTTTTTGGATTTTTCTAAGGCCTTTGACGTCGTACCCCTTCAGAATTTAATAACAAAATTATTAGCTATAGGCATTGAGCAGAAGGTTGTAGCATGGATCGCGAGCTACTTGAGTAACAGAAGATAGTGTGTTACCATAAATGGCTGTCTCTCGAAAGAGTTGGCAGTGCATTCGGGAGTTCCGCAGGGCTCAGTCCTCGGACCTCTTCTTTTTTTGGTTTATAATAATGATATTTATTTTTGTGTCGAGCAACCGATCCAGATTAAACTATTTGCGGACGACTGCGTAGTGTACACATCCATAAATAACCAAGAAGACCAAATTAAACTTAATGATGCTTTGCGCTCAATTAACGAATGGAGCATAAGGTGGGGACTAAAAATAAATCGTTCAAAAACAAATTCCGTCACGTTTACCAACTAAACGTTACCCCTTCATTGCACATATTTCATAGGAAATACTGCAATCACGAGAGCTGATCGGGTTAAATATCTGGGAGTAACACTTACCAGTAACCTCAGTTGGGAAACGCACGTTGAAAATGTGTGTTCGGGTCCACTGAAGAAATTATCTTTTTTGAAAAGAAAACTGCGTAACACTCCTCCCACGTTAAAACTAAAAGCGTATAAAGCACTCGTGCGACCAAAATTGGAGTATGCCGACATTATTTGGAGCCCTTGGCAACAATATTTGATTGAGAAAATAGAAAGGGTCCAAAATTTAGCTCTGCGCTTTATATATTCCGCTTACTCCCGACAACATAGTGTAACTAATCTACGTAATAGGGCAAGCCTACAAATACTAGAACAGCGCAGGATAATATCCAGATTAAAATTCGTCTACCAACTTGATCACGGGGACTTTAAATTATCACGGGAACGATACCTTCTGCGGCCTTCTAAACTTTCAGCTAGGACAAATCACAACAAAACGTTTAGGCAGCCACCCAGCCACATTAATGCCCACAAGTTCGCTCTCTTTCCTCGCGCAATTTTTCATTGGAACGCATTACCTGCGGAAGTAGTGAATGCTGCCTCGACGGCTTCATTCACTCAACAGATAGAAAAGATTAATTTCATCATATAAGTGATGTATGCTGAAAATAGTGTCATTTGAGTGCAATTCATTGATTGATTGATTTGTGGGGTTTAACGTCTCAAAACCACCATATGATTATGAGAGACGCCGTAGTGGAGGGCTCCGGAAATTTCGACCACCTGGGGTTCTTTAACGTGCGCTAAAATCTGAGCACACGGGCCTACAACATTTCCGCCTCCATCGGAAATGCAGCCGCCGCAGCCGGGAATCGATCCCGCGACCTGCGGGTCAGCAGCCGAGTACCATAGCCACTAGACCACCGCGGCGGGGATTTGAGTGCAATTCATCCGGCTACAAATGTTGAAAATATTCTTAGTTGTGCGCAGTTCTGTTGCACAGCGAGAAAATATATTTGACTTTTCTGTACTTGATAGTTATGTATTCTTTCATTTATGCCCTGTACTCCAGTGTCTTACTAGTTATTGCTTGAATGTATTGTTTGTATCCCACTCCTGCATAGGCCCGGGTAGGGCCTGCAGTATCTGTAAATAAATAAAAATAAAAAAATATCTGTAGCGCTGGCGAGCGAGCTGTTTCGGTAGACAAGGCCACATGACTTCTGAACTTTCAGTACTCTTATCGCCCGTGTCACGATGAAAAAACAGGCAGCACAAAAACCATTTCGTTCCATGAAGTGGCCGTATTAGATACGAAGCATCTTGAGTCGGCGGCTATGTCCCCCAGTACTGCGGCGTCTACGTCGTGCGCACGCGCATCCCCTCTCCCTCTCTCCTCTCGTATACTCTGCCTTCTCTTGCCTCGCAAGGCCGACGCAGGCACCGTCCGCTAGCCTACGCTCGCTTTCCCTCTTTCTTCTCTAGGCATCTCTCCCAAGGCATCGACAACCCCCTTGCGCATGCAAGCCCCGCCCACTCTTTCTCCTCTGTTAACTCCCCTATCCTGTAAAACACCTATCGCGTAATCATGTCCAAACTTTGAAGAATACGGCACGGCAAAAGGTGCGTCCAAGGGCTTCTACTTTATAGTCCCACATATGATGGCGCCGCCAGGGAGGCGTGAACCACAGATGAAGTCAACTACGCCACAAATCTGGTGCTGCCTAAAGTGCTAGATTGAGCCAAGAAACCAAAATATTTTCGTCTGGTTTCTTGAATATAGCCAGCAGGATCATAAGCAAGATGCAATAATAGTATGCTTTCCGAAAAACTGAAAAAATAAGACAGTGTGAAGTTTAACGTTCTAAACTACCAAATAATTGAAAGATGCCGTAGTGAACGGTTTCGGAAATTTCGACCACCTCGGGATCTTTAGCGTGCAACCAAGACGGAGCACATAGGCCTACGACTTTTTTGCCTTCATTGAAAATGCAGCCGCTACAGCCCGAATCAAATCCTGCGACCTGTGGATCAGCTGCCGAGTGCCTTAGCCACTAGACCACCAGGGCGGGATGAAATAATGAAGTAAAGTAGACACTACAAATGTGCCTAGATTGTCTAGTGTGTGCCTATATAGTCTGTAATACAGCCTAAGCGGAAGCCCCCAGAAATTGTCGAGTGCTGTCCGACATCATAAACACGCAGTTAGTCTTGTTTAAACTTGTACCCTACCATGCCATGTTTATATTTTCAAACCATACAAAACCTATTGTTATATGCACCAGAAAAGTTTGTGGGAATGAAAATTTTATGAATGTGGCAGCAGGCCAGGTTTAAGTATAAGTTTATAAACTTTATTTCTGTCTGAGACTGGCAACATTCTATATGAAGACAAAACTTGAGTATCAAGATGTTGTATTTTTTTACGACACCACCATAATAAAATCTTGCTGCCATATTATCACCTACAAGCTGCAGAAATTCTCGCGAAGTTCTTTTTTTTTAGCAAGCAAGTCGATGGGATAAGTATGCCTTACCCAGGACGACGACAGCCACAGCCAGCATCCTCATTCTCGGACGGCGATATCGCAAAATCTGTGCACAAACAAGTCTACAAATTTGTAACTGAGCACAACCTTCACCTGCACTTATATCAGTTTCTAAATTAATATATCTAGTGCTATGAAGCCTCCAAGACAAGGGTCGGTAACCTAATCAGGCTGCGGGCTGAGTAGCACGAAGCAAAGAGGAAGGAAAGGGAAGTTAGTTGCTCGGCAGTCAAACAGAAAAAAAACTTGGCGATGTATACAAATTGATGAAGATTGGAATAAAAGTATGAAAATTGTGTTTATTTTCAGCCTGCATGCTGTGAACTTAGCAACACACATTCATAACGCACAAGCGTTAATCCTCATTCAGGGCAGCATGTCGGACTTAAGTGACAGGCTGCTGGCGTCGTACCGGGGGCCACATAATACCGAAGCACGGGCCCCGATTGGCCCACAGGCAGCAGGTTTCCAACCCATGCTTTAATATATATGCAATATTTATAGTTAAAGTGGATGTTTTTGCTTCTTAATATACGTGAGAGTTAGGCTATACGACTGACAGAAGCTATTCGAAGGTGTCACACATCTACATGTCATACTTCAAAGTGGCGGTAGCAGAGTGGCCCTTACACTATTGAAAAGCTGTCCTGAAGCAAGAACTTTCAGAAGCGATCACAAAGTCGTTTATTTCAGCGCCAAAATCTGCCAAATTTTGGATATTACGAAGTGGAACGGCTTTGAGCTTCACCATAGTACAGTACCAAGTACTGTAAATTGCTAACCTCTTCTTCTAAAGACACTTATTAGGCGTGTGAGCTGTTTTATTATACATTGCGCTAAATTCATATCTGCGAACGCGTGAAATACCCGCCTCGCGCTGTTGAATATTTCATTTGTAAAAGGCACACAAAAACTGACCCGAAACCGCACACCAAAGGTTGTAGAAGACAGCAGGATAGGTATGCGTTATTCATTATTATTATTATTATTATTATTATTATTATTATTATTATTATTATTATTATTATTATTATTATTATTATTATTATTATTATTATTATTATTATTATTATTATTATTATTATTATTATTATTAACAGACATAATAATTAGTATACTTTAGGATTATGCGACGCGAAAAACAATACCAGTAGTAAGATAAGCAGGGTGAACAGTGGAAGTGCCTCAGGCACAATGGCCGACGTTTTGTTAGGAGCACCTATCTTTGCGAAATGTATCGCCACTTAATGATGACAAGGTGCCTTTGACACATATCGGTCCTGCTATTGAAACGTCGGCCGGCCTGTCTGAGGCACTTCCATTGTTCACGCTGATTATCCCACTACGTCTGTTGATATGTCGGCTCCCATCAAGATTCTGAATATCACTAGTAAGGACGCCGTAGTGAAGGGCTCCACATACTTTGACTATAATGTGTTGTTTAAAACGCATTAAAATTTATTTACACAGGTTTTTCAACATTCTGACACCACTGAAATGCGTATTCAATCCTGCAAACTGCACTTCAGCAGTCGAGTGCTAACCACCAGACCACCGTGGCGGGTACGCGTTACTCAATTCTTACCGGTCTCCTGAAAAGCTCCGGAGATGGCTTGTTCGCTGGCGACTACTTCTTGACTAACCACTAGCGAATTTTATAAATGACGTACACGTTATTTCTCACAGGAAGTGATGAATGTTTCTAGAGTTCAACATATTGAACACAAGTGTTGGCTAGCATGTCAACACTCCTGCATCGTTGGCGCGGTGTTTTTATGACTGTCGCTGTCCTCTTCGCGGTACATATGGGACCTGGGCCGTGTGAGTCAGATAACCGTGCACCGCACGGTTCAAGGCCGTGAAGCATCGTTGCGGTGAGGTGGGCAAATTTTAAACTGAAATATTTCGCTTACTGCCAGCCGACCGGTCCGCCAGGGCTTTACCATATGCGACGCAAAGCGGGTGATTCGCCAAGCGCGCATAGGTGTGTGAACGTACTAAAAGAGCCGGCTTACGTGGCAATGAATCAGTCGGCAGCTGAACATAGCTGCAGGAAGCCACACATGCGCCGAACAATGCCATAAGTATTTATAAACAAGCTGCTCTGCATGACACGCGCTTAACCTGACTGCTCTACGGTTGCTACGTGTTTGTGCGATGAACGGAAATGATACTCGGTGCTTGTCGGGAGGAACGATATATTTCATTCACGCCACCCACTTTAGGGCTTCCCTTTACGCCTTGTCGCATAACGACTCATATCATTACCAAGGTATAGGAATACATCGTTAGAATAACTATAGTTAGGCAACAACTGGGTAGCCCGAATATAAAAGAAAGGGGGCAAGAACGACACCGATAAACATGCTCTTCCATGTCGAGCATTAGCGATTGTGTGTATTCAACCGTAACGAATTTATTTACTTATTACGCTGAATGCATGCGCTGTTACTGGCGCCACAGTGCCATCACAATTAATGGCTCTTCACTAATAAAAAATATTGGTTGCATGAACCGCAAAAGGAACATACAAAATACTCGAAGGAATGGCATTTTTTTAAAGCTAATGCAGGTTTCGAAACGAAGAACGCAATTCATACTCAAAATGATTTCACTCTTTCCAATACTCCAAATCAAAACGGCCAAAATTCTGTGGTATATTAGCGAATGAAATAAATTATATAGTTTCTCAATCATTCTATAGTTACATAATTGAGAAGGGAATGAATGAAATAATAAAGGAAGCAACAGCATATATAGGCTTGCAAGCATGCATGACACGTGGTAATTTCGGGGGTGAAGCAGGTTAGAGTCGAAGCTTCTCAGTCCATGTCCGTGTCCATCACGGGAAGATGCATGGATGTGAGACACAAGAAAATTGATTATCATTGGCCTAACATAAATCATAATTGACGCGAAACAACATAAAAGACCTACATTCACCATCTCTTCATACCAGTCGACTCCTACAACGTAGGCATTGTAGATTATGGCTTAGCCTCGTCCTAATTCACTCCGTTAAGATGAGCGGACTTTTTTGTACTTTCAGGCATTTGCGGTTAACAGATAATCATTACTGCTTGAAGGATTACGACTTCGGAGCTGTCTATTTGCCAGTTTTGCAAACTCACCAACAAATGTTTATTAAGAATTTTCGCGCAGCCTACAAACTTTCAATCTAAGAGCGAAGTAATGAATGCGATAGCGGCAAATTGGAATGACATACGAAAGAACGACAAGCAGGTCGAGATGAGCAGAACGCTGCTCAACCATGAAGTACACGCGGAATAAAGACACCCAAAACGGACGCAATGGCACTGTTACAGCTCAACGTTTGCAGCGCACTGCTCAAGCACAAATGACACACCAAAAGAGGGTACATGTTTACATAGGATGACCACGAACTAACCACTTTCAACAGTTGTTGCTTGAACGAGCCCCTACACATTAGGTCGTCTAGCTAGCTGCTCACTCCGCGCACGCAGCCGCTAAAGTAAGCGAATTTAGCCTTTGTGCGTTTCGTAGCTGCAAAAAGACTTACAAAGCAATTCAATCCTCAACCCCTCCACCCGCCCCCACAGGCTCACAAAAAAAGTTCTGTACGTGTCGCACCAACTTCTGCCTTTCTCAATGTCATGAGCACGTGAAAATGTTTGCATTGTTCAGCTTATCAGTCGGCTGGAAATTGTGCACTATATAAAGAAGGTTTTCTCCTCAGTGTGGCACAAAGGGCTACCATAGCTTAGTGGTACTACATTGTCATCCATATTAATTCATTTATTTTCACACAAAACTGCTCTACGCCGAGGTGTATCGAGCCTTCACTCACGTTATTTTCGTCGTGGAAGTGACGTCGCCAAAATGCGCATGAACAGAAAACAAACGAAAATTGCCGTATTACTGAATCTTCTTGTATTACTGATTGATATGTGGGGTTTAACGTCCCAAAGCCACCATATGATTATGAGAGACGCCGTAGTGGAGGGCTCCGGAAATTCCGACCACCTGGGGTTCTTTAACGTGCATCCAAATCTGAGCACACGGGCCTACAACATTTCCGCCTCCATCGGAAATGCAGCCGCCGCAGCCGGGATTCGAACCCACGACCTGCGGGTCAGCAGCCGAGTACCTTAGCCACTAGACCACTGCGGCGGGGCTCTTCTTGTATTACTGAAAAATCTGAAGTTTAGTGGATTCATACGACTCGATAGTTACTCCCTGTTGCCGCCACGCTAGTGAATGGATAAGGCATTCGGCTGCTGACCCACGAATCACAGAACTGAATCCCGGCTACGGCGGCTGCATTTTCAATCGAGGCGCAATTGCTTGAGGCCTGCGTGCTTAGATTTAGGTGCGCGTTAGATAATCCTATAGCAAGTTGTAATTTCTGGAGTCCTCCACTACAGCAATTTTTATAAATATATCGTGGTTTTAGGACATTAAACCCCAAGAATTCTTATTGTTACTCCATGACGACGACAGTTTTCAAGCGCTACAATCACTGCTATAACGGCGTACATGGACCAGGTTTCCCAGACGTGCTTTATATATCTCACAACTCCCTCTCCCATCACTCTTGATTGGTCGGGGGGGAAGACGAGGCAGTTGGTGAAGTGGGGATGCTGACGTGAATTATTGTATCATGTGACACTAATTATCATATACAAAGAGCACTTAGGGAGTTTTAGTGCAACCGACGCTTCCGATGTGTATGCGCTAATTCAGTTGTGGGACGGTACACTAACGGGCCATGTTTTTCCCGTCCTGTTAGCTTGACAAGGAACTTCACCGGAGTAATGCTGCTTCCGCGTGCACCAATGGTGTTTTCTACGTGACCTACTGTTTCGAGTGTGACGGCAGAGACTAGTTAAAATGAACCACTAAGTGCTATAGGTAAGCAATGGGCTGCACGAGCGAATCTCGCACGTTGACTGCTTTCTTGAAACGATATATCGCTCCAGCGGGAAGTAGAATGCCTTCTCGGCTGAATACATAGCCAAAGCTACAAACGAAAGTTTCGAAGTTTAACTGTCACAGTCTTAAAACGTTGTGCGCTATTGCATGGACGCCGGTTATCGTTACGATTTTACCAGTAAGCCTGTGTCTTGCCGTTTCTTTTGTAAAATGACGGCGTTTAATTTAGTCCATAACTATATAATACACGTTTGAAGTTTCAAGTTCTATATTTTTCCCCACAGTGTTGCAGTCTTTTTTTACATTCTTCGGTCATTCATTAGGCAAGATACAAGAGTGCGGAATGAAGGCTGCGGTACGAGCGCAGCTTGACTAGCCCCACATCCCAGCAATATAAGGCAGAAAATTTTGACAGCATTCATGAAGTCATCTAAATAAGCAGATAGACACAAATAAATAATTGTGACTGGCACAATTAGTAATAATATGTTCGAAATGTACACAGCATTGCACTCTTTAAGAGAATGAAAAACGTTGAAATAGGCAAAATAGAAAACAAAAATTGCAACTGCGGTGTGTCTTATATTGTGTACGGTGTCTGCGTGACATTAGTCCCATGTTGTGTGCAAGTGTATGTTAGCTGCGCCAACTACCACAGTGGTTTAATCGTTATTATCAACGTTTGTCATCATGCTGGAGAAGTGCTACTAGACTTCAATGATGCGGCATTCAAGTTTCATAGTGCTATCGCCACCAGTTGCAATGGATATTGTCAGAGCTTTCGTGAAGTTATGTACAATAACCATTCAAATGCTTCTGTGAAGAAACAGTCCACTTTTGTAAACCGTGTGCGTTCGTAAACCTCTCAGGTGTGAACCGGAAAAAGCCGAATCAATCAGGAATCGAACTCAGGCAATCTGCGTGGAAGTAAAATATAATAACAAATTCACATCCTATAGCCTAGAATTGCTTGGGAAAAAGAGACTATTAGCCCCGACAAGTTGGAGTGGTGCCGCCTGGTGGGAGGCTTGCATGACGTGATGGCAAGGACTCTTCAAATCCTTCTGTGGCGCGCGCATACATAACGCGCAATCGCTTCGAACGCCGTTACGCTGCAACGTTCACTTTTAAATGTGAAACATTTCTTAGCGAACTTCACCGAATTTGCGCGTATCCATCTATATAAATAGACACCTACGACTTTCAGCTCTCCTGGCCGTTTCGATATCGGTATCGATACCAAACTTGGTATGGTTTCGTTCACATGGCACGTTGCAAAACTGGTGTGATGTGGAATGATTGCATGGCGAACACAAGTGACAGACCCCAACATGAATGTCATGACATGCGTGTCATGCAACAACATGACTACATGCTGAGCTCATGATGTGTTCGCGGACGTTTCGCTAGCATCACATATACCAAAATCGGTATTACGGTACGTGAATGGGTGACGAAGGTATGTGACTTATGCAAACCTGATAATAATGAGATGCGTGTCTTGTAACAACATGACTACATGCCACGCTCATGATGCGCTGGCGGCTGTTTCGCCAGCTTCACTTATACCAAATTCACTATTACGGTAAGTGAATGGATGACGAAGATGTGATACTGGGGCAAATATGATAATCATGAGATGCCCCGCCACGGTGGTCTAGTGGCTAAGGTACTCGGCTGCTGACCCGCAGGTCGTGGGATCAAATCCCGGCTGTGGCGGCTGCATTTCCGATGGAGGCGGAAATGTTGTAGGCCCGTGTACTCAG